TTATTAATGTTACCCTTAGCTAACACCGTTACGTTCGGATGATAAAATCTAAATAAAACCTGTTAGTACTCATCCCAACTATATGTGATTTGTCTGTGATTCATTAATCAAACAGGAACACCACAAATGTTAGGTGCTAAATGGTGCTAAACCTCCACAGCTGGCGACGTCGAGCTAAGGAACTAGCAGGCAATGGCTGATAATCATAATTCCTGACTCAAAAAAAACATAATTACATTGTGAACATACAAAAAAAATTGTTATCTACATAATAAAGGACCTCCGATATAATAAACACACGCAATGACTTAAAATTGGTCGATAGTTAATCACCTTACCTCAGGAGTTTCTCGTCATGCGGCCATTGAAATAAACGGGGTCTGACTCCACGGGAGGAATGTTTGGAACTATAGAGGTCTCCATAACCCGGAAGTTCTGTCCACCATATTTTACAACAGAGTCCTATGGGAGTGTCACCACTCTGTTCTTATCTATCGCTCAGGGTAATACCAAACATCACATGGTTTGATGACATAGTGTGCCTGGGAGATACCATTTAACAGAGGAGGGAGGGAGCGCGGGCGTCCGAGCGGAGTTAGAGAGGTTAAATAGAGTAGCAGCTCTGTGTCTCTCTGAGTGTAGCTGGAGAACTTGTGAGTGAAAGAGTGGGGCAGAGCTGTGCGGAGAGTGTGAGAGAGGAGAGATGCATTCTGTTATGTGTTATGTAACACAACTTGACCCTATATTGAAATAAACAGTACTGTCTAAATTTATATCTTGTTTGAAAATATATTGATATATTGTACTCGTTATATTACCTAGCCCTAATTGACATCATGCTGTTACCCATGGCAACAACAAGCATGGCTGAGAGCAAAACTATTAGCATCTCCACGGTGGTTCCACAAAGAGAAGCAGCTTCAGTAGTATGGAATAAATGGTGGCGTCGTAAGGCCTGGGTGTCCTGAATATTTTATGAATATGAACAGCCCCGGACTTCTCAGACTCCTTAAGTGAGTTATTGCTCAGAGGGAACTCATTTAGCAGGCAGCAGCACAGCATCTCTCCCTCTCCTCTCTTGCCAAGCATACACGGGAGTCGATGTCGTGAAGTGATTTTGTCAAAAACCTTTGTTATCCTACGTGCTCATTGCAGCTCACATATGTGAATGTGCCATAGTTAGGGTAGCATGTCAGCCAGTCACAGGTGCAGTGTGATGATAGAGAACTGGCAGAGCATAAAGGTCCAGGTGCACAAAAAAAAAAAAAACAACTTAGTCATTTAGGATTTTGCTAAAAGAGAAGGAAATAGCCTGTTGAGGTGCACTCACTTTAGTTCTAGAGCGTCCCGTCTGGGCGGGTACTCTTTAACTGGGTTCATCCACCCCCAGGGCTTTATTAAATATTCTTCCCTTGCTTTCTTTACGACTTTTGGAATAAAGGGACTGTTAATTTACACATGTGGGCCTGTATTTTTTTTACTATAATAGCCGCACACAGTATAATAGTAGCTGCATGGCACAGCGCCCCCTAGTCGGTGAGCTGGAGGGGAGAACGACGTCACCTTCATCATGATTCAGGAGCGGGAGTCTAGGGGATTGCTGGCCAACATGGACCGTCAAAGTCAAGGACCTCAAGTAAGTTTTTTTTTTATTATTTTAATGGTGCTATCACTTCCTTCAGATTGAACTGATAAAGTCATATTTGTGGCACAAGAATACATCCATGATAATATGATTAGCTTTCAAGAGTTGTACGTTACATGAACACTGTTGCTAAGCAACAACTAACAACAGAATGGACGCTGCCGTGTTTATTTATTTCTGTACTTTTGTGTCTGGGAATGGGAAAAGTACCCACAGCAAAAGTAAATAACTTATCTAACACATTAAGACAGTAGAAAACATAAGTAAATTCAATGAGCTACTACATTTTAAAAACGCAACTGGTGTAACTTATGGTGTGTGTATATACAGTGGAAGGATGAACCCGGTTAAAGCAGCTGTGCGGAACTTTATACCATTCATAAAACTGTCCCTAGTTTGTATCACCTCCCCTTGAAGATCCGCATATTTATTTGAACCCAACAGCGACAAAAAAGCCTTTCTCTATGGTTATTTAGTGTAGCCTGGCTCAGGTCGGACACAGCGGAAGTCAGCAAACCAGAATACGGCACCCGGAGGCGGAAGTAAGTCTGCTCGCCCACAGCGGCCTGCAGCCATTAAACCACAGAAGAAGAAGGAGCCATGTTTACGAGTAGGATTTAAGAAACAGGCTAAATGACATGTAGTAGGGAGTAGTCTTTTGTACAGTAGGTGGTGGTATGCACCTGGAAGTTGTTTGCGATCTGCCAATAAATTGAGAGAAGAAGAAGAGCTGTTTTTACAGAGAGTGTTCTTCGAGTAAGCGGTACGCAACGGGCATTGCTGAACACATAACAGTTTTACCAGATGTATCTATAAGGACTTTGTTGTACTTTTGATGTCATGGCGGATAAAGAAGGAGCACCATGTAAAAGAAAAAGAACAGAAGAATAGAAGAAGGCTAAACGGGACAGTGATAGGGCTCGAGCCCAAACGAGTGTAAACCTCGGTCGGGCATTCACCAAGTGGAGAGAGCTGAGAGATTTGAAAGGTTTTAAAACTGATCCCGAGTCGGCCCTTTTCCTAATCGACAGGTATGTAATTTTTACTTTTATTTAGAGAATATACTGCAACTTGTTAGACGTTGTTTCACTCCAATATATGACGACATGGAAGTTATAAGCAAGCTAAATGTGATGTGATGTGTGATGTGAACAGCTTTTGTCTAGTAACGTTACAACAAACGCCACAAAATTATCTGTGACTGTGATCATGAACACAAATATACAGCAGGCAGTTGTCCTCAGTTTATAAGAAATTCAGAGCTACACCAGAATATTTATGATCTTCCTCTCGCTCTCCAAAACAAATGCATGCAGTAATTGCCGGTTGCAGTCGAGATTTTACGACACCAGGCTGTGGGTGTCATACCGCTTCAACCAAAGGGGGGCACTATAATCAACGAAAACGTAAAGTTCCGCACAGCTGCTTTAAAGAGAACCAAGCCGGATGGGAAGCTCTAAAACTAAAGTGAACCTGTCTGCAAGGAGGCAGGAATCATTTCATTGGTCAACGTTCTATTGGTTGGAGGACTTTGACAGGGTTGTTACACAAAAAAATCCAAGAGCAGGGCAGAAATCTAAGAACAGAAATCCCACGAGTGCACAGAAGCAGCTTGAGCGTGAGGAGAAGAGCTGAAGCTGTAGCAGGAAATCTGTGCAAGCAACATTGTATCTGAGTGCAAGCACACAGTTTGAGCAGAAACAGAGTAGATCTAAGCGCAAGCATAGGCTATTTGAGTGTGAGGGCAGGGTTTTGAGGGACAATATTACAAAATCTGAACGTGAAATCAATAAATAATGCTCTCAAATTGATATACCACTCTCTTGAATAAAGACAGGAAAAAAGTTCCATAAATAACAATATACTATCGGAAGTAAAGTGATCATCTTTTTAAAGAATGTGTTCTACCCAGGCCAGCTGTTAGGAAATATAGGCAGGGGGACAACATTTTCAAAAGTGGGCCCTCATCCACACTAGGGGAGGGGGGCGAATTTACTGTACATACCACTGTGCAAAAAGTTTATACTTCGTGTGATTATAATCCAATTAAAAGTATTTCCACATATATTTTGTATCTAATCTGTGTTAAGACCTTATTTTCTAATTGTGAAAAGCAGAGGTAGTCCTGGGCCAAAAAAATGTCATCCAATAAATGATCAGTAAAAAATAAAATTAAACACTGACTTAAGAAATTACTGCAAGGTATTAAACCATAAGATTATATCACAAGTGAGCAGATCATTTTTATTTATACAGTCTTGAGGCTATTTTAATCAAATATTGGTCAAATTGTGTGCAGAGCTGAAAAAGTGTAAAGAGTATATGGCTGTCAATTCTCAGTTTCCCAGTCAAACCCAATTTATGTAATTCCAAGCATGTTTAGGGACCCCAGTATGCATAAATATTTAAATACACTATTTTGAAAAATGGAAATGTTTCTTTTTCCTTCGCCGAAATTTATTGCAACTTTGGAGCGTTATGTGGCCCCATTTGCGACAAGTTAGCTTCACATGGTTAAAAACAATGGATACCTTACATCTTCTATTTTAGTATGATACCTGTGTCTTCACTGTAGCTTTAAAACTGCGACCAATACAGCAGGCTTAATTATTTAACAGAACATGATATAGATGAGAAGACATTTATGTGTGTGAAAACAGCATTATGTTGGGGATAAAACAACTGCACAGTCAAACAGCCACTTAATATTTACTTTACAATGTAAAACATGATCAGAATGAGGTACCCCCATGAGATTATGCTGAGGTCTTACCTGTTTGAACAATGTTTTTATATTTCATCCTAAACTGCTGCCAAGTGCGCTTCTCCCCTGCGGGATTGCACCTAAATGAAATAAATTAATAGGCTACCATTCAAGCAGTTTTCCCCTGTAATATTATTGTGATTGCAAAGGACTACATTTAAACTTACGCATTGACCCGAGCAGCAATGTTCTCCCATGCCGTCTCCCTCTCTTTTGCAGCTGCAGCGGTGTTGTACTTCTTTTTGAAAACGTGTGCAAACTCGCCGTATGAGCGCATTAAGATTTCTAATTCTAGTGGGGTGAAAAACGCAGCCCTCCTCTTCCCCGTTGCCATGGTGACTCGTCGAATCGGGGCTCCATTGATGCTGGCTTTTTATAGTTGTGGTGCACGCGCTTGACTCCAGGTGAAACTACTCTGAGTTGATTAAACTGATTCAAATCAGCTGTTCTGGAACCGGAAACTCAGAGTTTCCTATCTCAGAGTAGATCAACTCAGAGTTCAGGATTAGACTCAGAGTTTGTTGAACCTGCTTTGTGAAACGGACCCCTGATCATTTTATTTTCTTCTTTTTCTATCCATCATTAGGTTACCTGTTGTTTGGCCTTCTTCTGATCTAGCAGGGAGGTCTTGCGTAGCACATCCATCTCTCTGCGTAGCTGTAAGTTCTCCTGCTGCAGCTGGAACCGCTCCTCGCTGATCCTGACACAGTTGTCCCGAGCTGCAGCCAGAGAGCTCTGCAACCGCTGCACTTCCTCCTGGCAACGTGACAGCTCTTCACTGTAGCTACAGATGGACAGATGGATTGAGAAAGGAAGGGGGGAGAGAGGGGAAAAGGAGGACAAATGTTATTTTTACACAACTGTCTTCATTGGCAGCAGATGGAGCCTTACTGTGCATTCACACCAAAAGCGTCATGAGCGTCATAAGCGGCTGGCAGCCATTCATTTTCAATGTACGCTTGCTACAAAGGGCGTCAGGGGCGTCGGCTGCAGCGAGCGACGCGATGCCAGCGACCAGAGCGTCAAGTAGAAGTTGAGAGAAGCTGAACTTTATGCAAATGAGCAGTGCAACTGCCGAAGCAGCAGCCAATTGCAGACCGGGATTCAGGTACGGAGGTCTGGGCTCTCGCGGAGCTGTACAAGTCGGTGAAATTCACCGTGGAGTTGCTGGGTTTGCAGGACTCTGTGGACCCAGCAAATATGCCAATACAATACAGAGGCTTTCAAAAGTGCGATTAATGAGTTCCCGCTTATTTACCACCAATTACATTTCTAAGTGGTCCTACGTGCCAACAGGAGAGTAAAATCATAATTATAAAAGACTCAGAAAGGCTATATTGACTGTGTTTATTAGCGTTATTTTAATTGTGCAATGAAAGTCATGGATAATACAAAGTGAAGACATAAATGATATATTTGTTCATCCTTGTAAAGTGAACAGCCGTGTCAGCCCTGATGGACACATCTGCAGCAGCCGGCCCCGCCCCTTTGGCCGCTGCTAGCGCCTGCTGGAGCTGCTGCCAGGCAGCGCGATGCCAGCGACCTGAGCGACTGCTGGCACTCATGACGCTTTTGGTGTGAATGCACAGTTATAGGTACCTCTCCCTGCTGCTGTGAGAACGCACAAAAAGGGGGCATCAGTGGCTTAGTGGATATAGCAGGCGCCCCGTGTACAAGGCTGTTGCCACAGCGGCCCAGGTTCGACTCCAGCCTGTGGCCCCTTGCTGCATGTCACTCCCACTCTCCCTTCCCCCTTCACACTTGACTGTCCTATCAATTAAAGGCAAAAAAGCCCTAAAAAATTATTTAAAAAAAAAAAGAACGCACAAAAAGAGGAGAGCTTTATATACTGCCAAGAACGTGTTAAGTTCAAACTAGTAAAGAGTAAACCTACAATGCAAAATTATACTTACTCCATCGCCATCTTTTTCAGTTTGTTCTGTGCACTTTGCAGGGTGAGGCTTATGTCCTCCTTCATCCTCTCTGCATCTAGACACCTCTGGTGAAGGGCATCAATCTTCCTGAACTCTGGCTCTGCCCTGCCCTCCTTATACACCTAAAACATAAGCAATTATGTAACTATGCAATCAAACATTATCAAAATTCTGAGATGGTTCAGCAGCTTGGTTGTTTCACTAACATTTTCATAGATACCTTCTCCAGCTCCTCCTCTAAAGATTTTCTCTCTCGCAAGGACTTTTCAATCTGAGATTCTTTATCTGCACACTCCTAGACAGAGGTGGAAAGAGATAACAAGCAGAGTCAGAATGGAAAAAAAAAACATGAGCAGACAGGTGAAGACTGAAAAAGATTTAGTGCTGAAAGGCATTTATCTTTAAAAAAGGCTGGTTCTTACCAGCTGCAATGCAGACAGTTCCTCTGCCATGTGGTGGATTTGAATGTTGCACTGCTTGCGCACAGTATCCACCTTAAAGTAACAGTTCAAAAAAGAAGTTTATATTTTTGTTGTGTGTATATATATATATACACACACACACACATAAACACACACATATATACACTGCTCACAAAATAAAGGGAACACATAATCATCACAGTGTAACTCGAAGTCAATCAAGTGAGCCACTGAGCCACATTATGAGTTGTCCTGAGGAAATTCACAGAAGTTGGATCAGCCTGTGATCTGATTTTTCCATTTTGATTTTGGGTATGATTCTGAATCCAGACCTAAATGAGTTAATGATTTTGGTTTTGTAATTGTAATTTAATTTCCTTTGTGTATTCTTTGTGTTTTCAAATACTTCAAATGTCTACACCTCTTAACCTCACACCTAGATACAAAATCCTGCAGGATACGCCAAGTGTGAAACATACCCTAGGGGGTCGGAGCCAATACTTGCAGCAGACGAAAGAGTGTGAAAACAATGGGTAGGGGCGCCGCTCCCTGCCGCAGACAGAAGGGTGTGAAACACACCGTAAGAGGTGTTCCTCAGGTATAAATGTTTAGGCTTTCCTATGCTCGGGGTCTTTCTTCATTCTGACCGCTGGTGTGCTGACTGACCTTTTCTTTGCAAAGAAAATAAAAACCTTGTCGGCCGGCAGAAGTCTCTATTTCATTATTCACCAGCAGCAGAAAATTTCCACAACAGTTTCCATGGATTGTTCTTTACATTATTTTGTTCTCAACGAATTACACTATGTAATCAATAAAGAATTTCATCTGAAATATTTCATTCATCGAGATCTGGGATGTGTGATTTAAGTGTTCCCTTTATTTTTTTGAGCAGTGTATATATGTGGGAACTGCAGAGGTCAAGTGGAGGTCTGGAAGAAAAAGAAAACTTTATGAGAGCTGCTCGTAGGATTGCTAGAAAGGCAAATCAAAACACCCATTTGACTGCAAAAAACCTGCAAGAAGATTTATCAGAATGCAGAGTGATAGTACAATATTCTACTGTGCATTGACACCTGTACTACTAAGACCTTCATGAAGAGTCATCAGAAGAAAACCTTTCCTGCATCCTCACCACAAAATTCAGTGTCAAAAGTTTGCAAAGGAACATCTAAACAAGCCTGATACACAAACAAGTCCTGTGAACTGATGAAGTGAAAATCGAACTTTAAGGAGGCAATGAGCGAAGGTATGTTTGGAGAGAAAAAAGGGTGCAGTATTTCATGAAAAGAACACCTGTCCAACTGTTACACATGGGGGTGGATCGCTCATACTTTGGGCTTGTGTTGCAGCCAGTGGCACAGGGAGCATTTCATGGCTAGAGGAAAGAATGAATTCAGTTTCCAGCAAATTCTGGAAGCAAACATCACACCATCTGTAAAACAGCTGAAGATGAAGAGAGGATGGCTTCTACAACAGGACAATGATCCAAAACACACCTTCAAATCCATAATGGAGTACCTCAAGAGGCACAAGCTTAAGGTTTTGCCATGGCCCTCACAGTCCCCCGACCTGAACGTCATTGAAAATCTGTGGATAGACCTCAAAAGAGCAGTGCATGCAAGACGGCCCAAGAATCACACAGAACTGGAGGACTTCTGCAGGAAGAATAGGTAAAAATCCCACAAACAAGAACTGAAAGACTCAGCTGGATACAAAAAGTGTTTAGAAGCTGTGACACTTGCCAAGTGATGATGTAGTGGTTTATAATACATATTATTAGAGGGGAGGTATATATACAGTACAGGCCAAAAGTTTGGACACACCTTCTCATTCAATGTGTTTTCTTTATTTTCATGACTATTTACATTGTAGATTCTCACTGAAGGCATCAAAACTATGAATGAACACGTGGAGTTATGTACTTAACAAAAAAAGGTGAAATAACTGAAAACGTTTTATATTCTAGTTTCTTCAAAATAGCCACCCTTTGCTCTGATTACTGCTTTGCACACTCTTGGCATTCTCTCGATGAGCTTCAAGAGGTAGTCACCTGAAATGGTTTCCACTTCACAGGTGTGCCTTATCAGGGTTAATTAGTGGAATTTCTTGCTTTATCAGTGGGGTTGGGACCATCAGTTGTGTTGTGCAGAAGTCAGGTTAATACACAGCCGACAGCCCTATTGGACAACTGTTAAAATTCATATTATGGAAAGAACCAATCAGCTAACTAAAGAAAAACGAGTGGCCATCATTACTTTAAGAAATGAAGGTCAGTCAGTCCGGAAAATTGCAAAAACTTTAAATGTGTCCCCAAGTGGAGTCGCAAAAACCATCAAGCGCTACAATGAAACTGGCACACATGAGGACCGACCCAGGAAAGGAAGACCAAGAGTCACCTCTGCTTCTGAGGATAAGTTCATCCGAGTCACCAGCCTCAGAAATGGCAAGTTAACAGCAGCTCAGATCAGAGACCAGATGAATGCCACACAGAGTTCTAGCAGCAGACCCATCTCTAGAACAACTGTTAAGAGGAGACTGCGCCAATCAGGCCTTCATGGTCAAATAGCTGCTAGGAAACCACTGCTAAGGAGAGGCAACAAGCAGAAGAGATTTGTTTGGGCCAAGAAACACAAGGAATGGACATTAGACCAGTGGAAATCTGTGCTTTGGTCTGATGAGTCCAAATTTGAGATCTTTGGTTCCAACCGCTGTGTCTTTGTGAGACGCAGAAAAGGTGAACGGATGGATTCCACATGCCTGGTTCCCACTGTGAAGCATGGAGGAGGAGGTGTGATGGTGTGGGGGTGTTTTGCTGGTGACACTGTTGGGGATTTATTCAAAATTGAAGGCACACTGAACCAGCATGGCTACCACAGCATCCTGCAGCGACATGCCATCCCATCCGGTTTGCGTTTAGTTGGACGATCATTTATTTTTCAACAGGACAATGACCCCAAACACACCTCCAGGCTATGTAAGGGCTATTTGACCAAGAAGGAGAGTGATGGAGTGCTGCAGCAGATGACCTGGCCTCCACAGTCACCGGACCTGAACCCAATCCAGATGGTTTGGGGTGAGCTGGACCGCAGAGTGAAGGCAAAGGGGCCAACAAGTGCTAAACACCTCTGGGAACTCCTTCAAGACTGTTGGAAAACCATTTCAGGTGACTACCTCTTGAAGCTCATCGAGAGAATGCCAAGAGTGTGCAAAGCAGTAATCAGAGCAAAGGGTGGCTATTTTGAAGAAAGTAGAATATAAAACATGTTTTCAGTTATTTCACCTTTTTTTGTCAGGTACATAACTCCACGTGTTCATTCATAGTTTTGATGCCTTCAGTGAGAATCTACAATGTAAATAGTCATGAAAATAAAGAAAACGCATTGAATGAGAAGGTGTGTCCAAACTTTTGGCCTGTACTGTACATACACATTGATTAAGGAGCGATTCTGCAGTTATTTTGCAGTTTTTCATTTATTCTGCTTTTATTCATTTTGCAGTCAACAGTACAACACAATACACATACTGATAAGACATACTGCATCATGGGGTCTGAAATCAAGGATATGTCTCCAGGAGCAATACTTGGAAAAAAGAATCCGCTTGTGGCAGAAGAAATAAAGAGACTGTCACAGTAGTGGACACGGAAAAGTCCGTCACCATGGCCATCGGAGGGAACATTTGATGCGGCACAGGGTGCTGAGGTGATGGTTTTGGTCAAAAACTGTACGTCACTTTATCCAGACTTAGCAAAAGCTGCAGAACAAGAACAAGAGGAAGATGGGTTATCAGATTTACCTGAAGTTTATTTAAAGTCAATAAAGCTCCCAAGCAGAAATCCTAGACGGAAGATGGAAGTGGAAGATGTGACAGGATTGGCTGTTGACTGTTATTATACACATATGACTATTGTCACACATGTATACTGCCAGATATTAATACATACTTTCAACATATTGTACATATTGACATGGCACTCCCTGACTATGAGAAACCCTTTCAAATGTTTGTGTCATGCTGTCAAAACCATGCCTGTGGAATGTGAGCTCAGAAGACAGGTGTTGGTTCGCATGCGCAGCCTATAGCGTATTACTCTGTGGCGTCAACATCAGTGGAGCTTGGACTGCCTGTTTGTTATCACCATTTGGCTGCAGTGCACTTGACATATGAAAAAGCATCAGCATTAACCAGGAGTTATCCTGTGGATATCTTGTCTCACTATTAATAGGTGAATCTGATTGAAAGAGGCAAATTTGTGTTAACTACACAGTGCCTCACTGACTATCACAGACTTTGTGAATATCCAGATGTGACATTGCCACATGATTGAGTGGCTGAAGCAGAAAGTTATGCTAAACTGCACTCTGATTTGAGCACTATTCCCTTGGAAGCTGCCGACATAACATTGTTTGTGGATGGCTCCTGTTATCAATCAATCAATCAATTTTATTTATAAAGCCCAATATCACAAATCACAATTTGACTCACAGGGCTTTACAGCATACAACATCCTTCTGTCCTTAGGACCCCCCCAAAAAAAACCTTTAACGGGGGGGAAAAATGGTAGAAACCTCAGGAAGACCAACTGAGGGGGGATCCCTCTTCCAGGACGGACAGACGTGCAATAGATGTCGTACAGAACAGATCAGCATAATAAATTAACAGTAATCCGTATGACACAATGAGACAGAAAAAGAGAGAGAGAGAGAGAGAGAGAGAGACAGAGAGACAGAGAGACAGACGGAGAGAGATGCAGGACAGACGGTAATGACAGTAGCTTACAACAACATTAATGAAAGTAATAATATTATAATTATAGTTCTGGCTACTGTGGTACAATATGTTGAAAGTATATATTAATATCTGATAGTATACATAAGTGACAATAATCATATGTGTATAATAACAGTAGAAGTATGACTAATGATAACAGCAGCAGCAGGAGGCATCTGGCAGGACCACGGCAGCAGCACAACCACACACGTAACACTATCCAGGCACCACTGCAATACGAGTTAACCTGAGAGACAGTGGAGCACAAAGGCTCCGGAGAAGAAGCCAAGTTAGCGACATCC